ATGTGATGTTCAGAACATGGTAACTACAGTAATTATCAAAGTGGGAAGTGATGCCCTCTGGGGGCATTTGGCCAGGGGTGTTTTTACACCACAGACCAGGTTTGAGAAGAAAAAAATCATTATGAAAATCTAATTATGTTTTCCTTATTATATTCATTATTTCCTTATTGGTTATTTTGGGAAAATCCCAAGTATTTTGAGCAGTAGGATTATAAAAAATATATGCTCATATAAAATTAAATGATAAAAGTAGCCTATATAAAACTGCAAAATAAACATTCATCTATCAGTACTTTTTACTTAAGTACATCAAAAATTAAGTACTTTGTACTTTCGCTCGAGTAAAATTGAAAACTGAGTACTTTTACTGGAGTAATATTTTATTATACGGATCTGTACTTTTACTCAAGTACTTGATTTGTGTACTTCGTCCACCACTGTGCTAAATACACCTGCTGTACCTGAAAAATAAATCACTGTTTGTTTTATTTGTATATTGGTAATGTGTATCTTTTCTTATTTGTTGTTCTTATTTTTTTAAAAACAGATCAAATAATGTCTTTTTTTGCACTCTTTGGCCTAAATATCTGCCATTTTTTCGTTTTTTTATATTTTGTTCCCTTATAAGTCTTTGGTTTTAAAATAGGGAAATTAGTTTGGCTGTACTGCTCAGGCAACTTGCAAAATAGTAAAACCAACATCAACAAACAATCGTGATAAAATCGTGAGTCGTGATTTTCCTGAAAAAAAAAAACGTGATATGATATTTTTTCCATATCACCCACCCCTATTTACAGCAAAGAAAAAAACAGTCTCCTCTCGGCTTATATCGAAATCCTGCGTCATTTTCCTTTATAAATCCTTGTTTTGTACTTTTTAATATGAGACCGTTGTTTTATTTTGCTCTCTCCTTTGCGCTTCCGCGTTCATCACTTCTCACCAGAGTTTACGCTACACACGTCATCCGCTGGAACGCCACTCTCTCGTGAACACGCGTACGACAGTTAGTGGAAGCTAAAGATGACGGTTTATAAAGTTTTAAATATGGATATTTGTCTTACACAAACGTATCGTTTTGCTCCAGAAGACCTTTATTAACCCCCCGGAGCCGCGTGGAGCACTTTTTATGATGGATGGATGCACTTTTTTGGGCTTTAAAATCTCGACCACCATTCACTGTCATTATAAAGCTTGGAAGAGCTAGGACTTTTTTAATATAACTCTGATTGTATTCGTCTGAAAGAAGAAAGTCATATACACCTAGGATGGCTTGAGAGTAAGAAAATCATGGGGGTAATTGTCATTTTTGGGTGAACTATCCCTTTAAGTGAATTTATGATTAAAACAAGGGAAAAAATCTAATAATAGGGTAAGAAAAATTTACTTATTTTCCCTTTGAATTAAGTTTATTTATCTGACCCTATTAGCAGATTTAAACTGACTTAATTTTGTTGCATGTACTTGGGAAGTTATTTTGCTTCGCAGGTATATGTATTTGATGTAAGAATGCTTAGATACTGTACTGTAAAACAAGACTAAATTAATTTGCAGTGTATTCATATTAGTATTTGTTGATTTAAAAATGATCATTTTACAGTAATACATGAAATATAATTTTCAAAAATGTATTACAATAATGAGATTCTGGGGCAACTTGCTTAATCACTATGAATAGGCACAAAACAGGCATTATTTTCTTTAAGCACATAAATATGTTTTTCCTATTGATTTTGGGGTGGAATGTGATCTGGGCGTGTTTTCATGATATTCATCCTATTATAGCTATCACAGAGTGTATTTATCCTTCATCTGGGTTAAGTTTCAGTGTATTTATTGACAGCACTGCTGTACTGTATTCATCGAGTGGATCTAGGCTGCACAAAACGTTCTGCCTTATCTGTGTGTGTGTGTGTGTTTGCAGGATCACAAGAGACTTTAAATGAAGGTTAACCTCGCAAGAGCACAACAGTGACCACACACTTCATTGACCTTGATTCTGGAAGTATTTTTCCCCAATAATTCTTTCCATAGGGATTTCAAAACAAATAAAAAATTCCTTCAACAAAGACTTCCATGCCATGAACCAAACCAACTGACTGTGAGATGAAACATAACACCACAAACTATGATTCAATGCAAAATTAGGGAAAAATAACAAAAAGGTAAGACTCTGCATTTAATGTGAATCAACTACTCTTGCCATGAAGCACTGCGAATGACGTTGTGCAAAATTAAACTGACTTCAATATAAAAACAATATGCACTACAGATAAAAAGTTTGGAATAATTAAGATTTTGTAAAATAGAGAAAAAAATGCAATAAAACAGTAATATTTATTGCAATTTAAAATATCTTGGTATATTAGAATGATTTCTGAAGGATCGTGTGACACTGAAGACTGGAGTAATGATGCTGAAAATTCAGCTTTACATCACAGGAATAAATGACATTTTACAATATACTAAAGTAGAAAACAGTTGTTTTAAATTGCAATAATATTTCACAATATTACTGTTTTTACTGTATTTTTAATCAAATAAACGCAGCCTTGATGAGCAGAAGAGACTTCTTTCAAAAACATTAAAAAGTCTTAAATATTTCAAACTTTTGACCGGTAGTTCATTCTAAAATATTGAGATATTGAGCACTAACACTAATATTAAATGTGGTCATAAGAACAACATATATTTGGTTCCACACCTCATATCACCAGTTATTATGACTGTACCTTGTTCTGGAAACACTGGCAAATGACTGGCATTGTGCTCTTATACACGAGCTGATAGTGTTACTATTTCTAAAGCAGCAGCAAGGACAGAGATAATGACCGGCACAGAAAGAGAAAGCGGGAGGTGAACCGAATGAGAGGAAGATGACTTTGTGAAGAGATCAAAATAGAGGTTAACACATTATGGATATAAGTGTTCATGTTACTACTATTATTGCATGGGCATGTCAAAGAAGGCTTGACATTCAGATGAATTATGAAGGAAAAAAGAAACTGAAAACACAATAAGGTTACAATCATAATCGACTCACTGAAGCATAAAGAACTTACAAAAAAACATGTGAACTACAGTTTGAACTCATTAATTTTGCTTTGTAGTTTGCTTAGTTGTCCTATACACCACTTTTATTTATTTATTTTGGGTCATATTTCACTCTTAATATCCCTTCTAGACATTATGCAATATCTTATTTTGTGTTCAAACACAAAAGTTAAGTCATAAATGATGAATGACTTTACATTTTTGCTTCGGTAACCCTTTAATAACACCAATCAGAGGACAGGCAAGGAATGAAGGTGTTAACTTTATTTCAACACATAAAGCTTCTAATTGCTCTTAATGGTTAAACTGTTCAAATACTTTACTCTCTCTGTTACCTAATATTACAAAATACTTTGGCAGCACTGAGGAAAAAATGGGCAAGACAATCGCTTTTCTTCTCTTTCCTCTGGCATCTGATCTGTTCATCCTCATTGTGTTGTTTTATTTTAACGACCAAATAAAGTGTCCTTTGCATTATATCTCATAGATATCCACTAAACACACAGCATTGGCAGATACCAAAGGACTTCACAGCTTGTGCTGATTTGTTATGGTGTCCATTCCCTGCTAAGCATTGTTGAAGAGACAGATTTTAGCCTCGATGTTTATCATGTTGTTGCAATAATGGCAATGTTTATTTAACTACTTGCAATATGATTTACTGAACAAATTGTGCAGCCCTAATTAGCTGTAATAAGATTTATTTTAAAGGCAGTACAGTTGAGAAATGTTTCGACACTACTTTTAATTACATTTCTTTTGTGTGATTTTGTAGACCACACAACACGTAAACCTTGTTATCACACTAAAACCTCCACTCGCACAGTAAAGTTTGGTACCAAGCAAGCTAACAATACTCTAAGCATATACAGCACACACAAATATCAGGTAGAATTATGCATTTCTAATTGGATTATATTGTTCTTATTAATGTTTTTCGGTGTTGAATGAATTGCAAGTATGTTTATAATCTACTTTTTTTTTTAGGACTTTGGCATTTCTTTCACATTTTCACTTTGCTATTCTGATCATATAATTTGTAATGATTTTCAAGGAATAGTTCACACAAAAAATATAATTTGCTGAAAATGTAAATTTACTCCAAGATGTAAATGAGTTTGTTTCTTTATCAGATTTGGAGAAATGTAGCATTGCATCACTTGCTCACCAATGGATGCTCTGCAGTGAATGGGTGCCGTCAGAATGAGAGTCCAAACAGCTGATAAAAACATCACAATAACCCACACTCCAGTGCATCACTTAACATCTTAAGAAGCCAAAAGCTGCGTGTTTGTAAGAAACAAATCCATCATTAAGGCATTTTAACATCAAACCATTACTTCTGGTAAGTCCATAATCTATAATATTGCTTTCTCCAGTGAACAAAAAAAAAAAAAAAGTTGTCTTATCTGAATCAGGAGAGAAATCTGCACAGACCAAGCACAGTCTAAAACAGCTCTAAACAAATATGTGAGTGGATTTTGATGTGAGAGGAGAAGAGGAAATGAACTTTTTCACTGGAGGAAGCGTTATTATCGATTATGGACTTGTATTTTGCCTGAAGAGACGGTTTAAAGTTAAAACACCTGAATGATGGATTTGTTTCTTAGAAACACACAGCTTTTCACTTCACAAGATGTTAACTGATGGACTGGAGTGGTGTGGATTACTTGTGGATTATTGTGATGTTTTTATCAGCTATTTGGCCTCTCATTCTGACGGCACCCATTCACTGCAGAGGATCATTTGGTGAGCTGATATGCTGATCACACGGTATAATTTGTAATAAATGTAAAACATAAAATCTAATTAGTTTAAAACAATTTGAATGTGAACCTTTCACTCAAATATGCTGATGATATAATTTATAATGAATAACATTGTAACAAATTGGAAAAGAACAAGTGATTTTCACAAGTGATCTCAGACTTTTGGACCCCATTTCATATGTATGTGTGTCTTTGTGTCTTCTCAGTGTTGAGTCAAAGCCGAACCAGCCTGGGCTAGTTGGAGAAAGCCACAATGGCAATCAGGACACATCTGGAGTACATTATTAGAGAGGCCAATAATGAAAATATCGCATCAGAGCTTGAAATACATTCCAGCAGTGTCTAACATTTCAAACAAATAACGCAAATGAACACGAGACTGGACCAGAATAAGGCAGCCTGACAGCAACAGGATAGTTGCTAGTTTAAAGTCCCCCAGCATGAAAGAGAAGGGGGCAGCCGTGGTACAAGATGTACCGCTGGGCTCAATTACCTGCTGTAGAGAAACTTTCGCAACAGACAACAGGCTTGTTCTTGTGGAGTGCTGACATAAGAAAGCGCTTTAAGTGTAGATGGTTACTTCTGACATTTCCTTTTTCGGGGCTTGGGAAAGGAGGTCAGGAGTGAACATTCAGCCATCTCTTCAGAACATGCATTTAAATGTTGTTCACAAGAACTTATAATGCACACAAGCCTAAGGTTAACACTTTCTATTAAATATAGCAGGCGATTTAAAAAGGCCAGAGCAGCAAAAGGTAACAGACGTCATAAAACACAGATTCATGCTTCTTGGTTCGCGGGCTGAATTTTCACAGCTGGAGATTTTGTATTTTACCTTTGACCTGTTCTTGTGAATGACCCCCTTATCATTAAGGGACAATCTCTCTAGAGATCATTAAACTATACTGGTATTAATAAAATTGCTGCAATCGCTCAGATGGGGATCACAGAGTGTTAATGCAGGTAAGCAGCCTCTTTTCTCAATTATTTATATGGAAGACATTTTAATCAAATGACAATTTGATAATCATTCACAAGCATTTCCATTTGTTTAACTACTTCTGTCTCTCGGTGTCAACGGATCCTCTGCAGTGAATGGGTGCCATCAGAATGAGAGTCCAAA